GGTGGAGGAGGAGGTATTGCTCCACCAGGTAGTGAAGTTGCTGGAGATGGTGGCGCATTCTCACTTGGCAGAGGTGGAGGTACTGGTGCTACTTCTGTCAGTTGACGTGTCAGGCCTGGACCCTGAAATATAAAAGAGGAATTCTTTTGACACGGGGAGAGAAGGAGGTTTAATATGAAGTTGAACCAACTAGGATGTCTTGTAGTCAACTGTACCTCAAGACAGTGAGAATGAACAATGAAAAGAAATAGCAGCATCTGAAACCATCAGAGAGGTTAACTATTTGTTAAAAAGCAGCATGAGGAGCTATGCAAAAACGTCCATATGAACTCATACTCTATTTCCTCTACTAACTGCTTTATTACAAAATTATTATGTAAATGGACTGTTCATTTAATCTGATTTGCATACTACTTCCCCACACAATTACTTACCCTTTCTAGTTTAAAGGAAACAAGCATTTGTTAAGGGAAAAAAAAAAAAAAGGCTGAGAAAGTGCAGTTGTGAGGAGACCCATACTGGACTTTTGAGGACTTTTCCCTTATGGAAAGGGGCCCACATGGAAGCAGAGAGAGACGCTGGGCTGAGGTTTTTTTCCCCTACTCTTGAGAAGCACGTGGCGGGAAGACCGACTGCAACCCCCCACTGCCATCCCTCTGCGCCTCAAGGCAAAGGGGGAGGGGGAAGGTGAAGAAAACTGGGAACAAAGCTGAGCTCGGAAAGAAGAGAGGGGTGGGTGGAAGGTGTTTTGACTTTAAGATCTGGCTGTATCTCCCATTGTTCTACTCTGATGTTGGTAACAAATTAAAATCATTTTGTTTTTTATTCCTTATGATGAGTCTGTCTTTTGCCTGTGACCTGTTTAAGTGGTGAGAAGCCCACCAAGTCTTTATTTTGACTGGCCCTTTTTTGGGGCATCGTGGTGCTCAGTTATGCACTGGGCTTAAACCATGACAAAATCCATCCAAGTGCATCTAAAAATGTAACAATATATTGTATGGGAAGCATAGTACTACAGAAAAAGAGGCATATAGATAGTGTGAAGGAGCCATAATGTCTGGAGGATCTGAATTGTTTTGGCATCAACGCAACAGTATTAATAATTAGACTAAAAATAAATTCCTGGCTTTGCACAAGGCAGCTGGGCTTATTTGGCCCACAAGCTACCACACTAGCTGTAATACAAAAATTTGTGAAGAGCTTATTAAAACAGACTGTCAAGTTTCAGTGTAGCATTTTCTCATAGATACATGAAACAAACATTAACATTGGTAAGAATCAAGTATCGACAGAAGTGTGTACAAAATGTGACGTGCTATTCTTCCTCTTATTATCCATACAGAAAGTGAGATCATGGGCATTAAGATAGCCACAACAAGGAAAAACAGTAGCAGGCAGACCTTGCCTAGCATTGAGGAAGTAGGAAATAAGTCAGACTGAGGCAAAAAGATCAAACCATAGTATCTGTTGGTTCCTAAAGGGTATAAAAGGCTTGTCTAAAACCTAATTCATTGTCATTAAACAAAAGAAACCCAAGGAGACAGTGTGTGGGCTCAACAGGCAGTATTTCTTGTCCTCTGTGCTTCACTAAAGATCTGAAACAGACAACTCGGAGATACAGTTTTGGCGCTTGTGAGCAAAATCCATGAGGAAATGAATGCAAGTAAAATCAGCTTTGCTGAAATTAAGTTATCACCTCCTACCTTCGAGAGGTCTTGCATTTTTTGTTATATTTACTGTATAAAGCTAGTTTATTTATTTATAAAGCTAGTTTATATTCATTTCAGAAACGGCTACAGTCTGATATCCAGAGTTCAAAAAAACCCCCGTTATCAGTTGCAGGCTCCCGCTGAAGGGGATGTATATTTTGCCTATAAAGACATG